CGGCCGGCCGGCATCCCACCTGTCCGCCCTGCCATACCCAGCCTCCTGCAGGATCTGCTGCCGCTGCGGTGCCGAGTACCTGGTGGCCGCCTCCGGCCGCTGCGTGCGTGAGGAAGAGTGCTGCTACCACTGGGGGCGGCTCCGCCGGAACCGAGGTGAGGCCCACCCCACAGACGCCTCGCCCGGGCACGCCAGGCACGCGTAGGCCTGTGTTTCCACGCCGTCTCCTGGGAAGTGCTGCAGGGCTCCTGTGGCTCCACACGTGGGCCCTTGGCGGGGCGTCCTGTCTGCATCCTGGCGTGCGAGCCTGCCCCAGCCCTGGGCGGGCCGGGAGCAGCTGTGGGTGACAGAACAAACCGGGCGGTCCCGGCCCCCGTGGTGCTGAGCCCAGCATGTTCCTCTTCCAGTGGCTGGTGGCTGGGAGACCCAGTACATGTGCTGTTCGGCAGCCGTGGGCTCCGTGGGCTGCCAGGTCGCCAAGGTAGGTCGTGGGGGCCCCTGCTGGCCTGGCTCCCAGCTGAGCTCGCCATGGTGACGCAGGAGGCTGCCCTCCTCCCCCTGCAGCCTCTTGTCATGCCCAGCCCCCATCCCGTGGACCCCATCCCTGATCAGCTCTGGGGCCCGCCTGGCCTGGCCTTTCGGGCTCAGCGCGCCAGCACTGTGACACCCCAGTGGGCGGCTGGAGGGGTGTCCACGCACACAGCCCTCAGCCGCCCCCTGCCCTCAGCAACACGTGCAGGACGGCCGCAAGGACAGCCTGGAGGGCTTCGTGAGGACCTTCGCCAAGGAGCTGCCCGACAGCGCTCACCCGGGCGTCTACGCCCTGGACTGTGAGATGGTTCGTCGGCCTGAGCTGGGCTCTGCCGTGGGGTTGCTGGGCCCTGGCCGCCCTGGGGAGGGGGAGGAGCGGCAGCACGGCTTTTTTTTGCCCCTGCCACATGCTGCCTCGGAGGGCCGCTGGGCAGGGATGGCGGCCGGGGGCGCCTTGGGAGGGCCCACAAGCCCGGGCCTCTGCCACGCTTGGGTGGCAGCAGGTGGAGGGACGGGAGGCCAGCGCCTGGGCGGTGTGTGAGGCCGGGCCTCCCCGCAGTCATACACCACCTACGGCCTGGAGCTGACTCGCGTCACCGTGGTGGACGCAGACCTGCGGGTGGTGTACGACACCTTCGTCAAGCCCCACAACGAGATCGTGGACTACAACACCAGGTGCGCCCCGCCCCAGCCCGCCGGCCCTGCACCTGGGCCCCCAGCCCCCAGCCCCGCGCCCCGCTGAGCCCGCCCATGTGCCCAGGTTCTCGGGCGTGACGGCGGCTGACTTGGCGCACACGAGCGTCACGCTGCGCGATGTGCAGGCCGTCCTGCTGAGCATGTTCAGCGCCGACACCGTCCTCATCGGACACAGCCTGGAGAGCGACCTGCTGGCCCTGAAGGTGGGCTGCCTTCCCCCGCTGCCCTGCCAGGTGCCAGCCCTGCGGGCCACCCGCCCTGACGGTGCCCTGCCCGCAGGTCATCCACAGCACCGTGGTGGACACGGCGG